TGAGGGGGAACAATCACTGGTTCCTTGACAGTGGTTGTTCTAAGCACATGACGGGAGACAAATCTTTATTCCTCTCACTTCGGCCATTTAACGGTGGAAAGGTGACATTTGGAGACAACGGCAAAGGAGAGATCATAGCCGTGGGCAAAGTTGGAAAGTCACCTAGCCATGCTATCGATAATGTATTTTTAGTCAAGGGTTTGAAATTTAATTTACTAAGTATTTCTCAATTTTGCGATCGAGGTAATAGTGTTATTTTTGATCATAACGTTTGTCGCATTGTTAATAACGAATCACAACAAGTTATACTTGAAGGCAAGAGGCTCGAAAATACATATAAAGTAGATCTTGATTCATTGCCTAATATTAGTATGACTTGTTTGAGCGTTATTGATAACGATCCTTTGCTATGGCATAAAAGGCTTGGACACGCTAGTTTTTCACTAATAAATAAACTTAAAAATAGTGATTTAGTCATTGGACTGCCCAATTTAAAATTTTCACTTGACCATGTTTGCTCGGCTTGTGCCACCGGAAAACAATCTCGATCATCCTTTAAAACAAAGAATTTGGTGAGCACAAGCAAGCCCATAGAACTGATTCACATGGATTTGTGTGGTCCAATGTCAGTCCGTAGCCGGGGAAATAAAGAATATGTTCTAGTTATTGTTGATGACTTTTCAAGATTTACATGGACTATCTTTCTTGCTAGCAAGAAAGATACTTTTAATGAGTTTGCTATTTTTGTAAGGAAAATTGAGCATCAAACGGGTCTACAACTAATCAAGATCCGATCGGATCATGGAACTGAGTTTGACAATTCTCTCTTCGATGCCTTCTGCAAAGAACGAGGGATAGACCACAACTTCTCCGCACCTAGAACTCCACAACAGAACGGAGTGGTAGAACGGAAAAATAGAACTCTGGAGGACATGACTAGAACTATGCTTATTTCCAGCGGTCTAGCTAGGAATTTCTGGGCCGAGGCTCTAAACACAGCATGTTATATCATCAATCGAGCCATGATTCGCCCACTCCTAGGGAAGACACCCTACGAACTGCTCAAAGGAAGGAAGCCCAATATTAGTCACCTAAGAACCTTTGGTTGCAAATGTTTCGTCCACAACAATGGGAAAGATAACATTGGCAAATTTGATGCTAGAAGTGACGAGGCAGTCTTCCTCGGATATTCTCCTCATAGCAAGGCTTACAAAGTTCTAAACAAACGCACACAATGTGTGGAAGAAAGCATTCATGTAATCTTTGATGAAGCACTTGCCTCAAAGTCAATCCAAGCCGATGGTGGTGAGCTAGGGATTACTCGCAAGAAATCCCAATCTCAAGGAGATGAAGGAACTAACAATCAAACTGGTGAAGTACCTCTAACAAAAGGAAGAGAACAACCTGGAACTGAAGGAGAATCCGGACAGAACACTGACACTGGACCTATAGAGCCAGTTTCAGAAACTCTCTACAATTTGGTGGATCAATCCAACGCTCCTAGGGGTTGGAAGCTTCATAGATCACATCCGCTGGATAACCTCCTCACCGATCTAAATCAGGGAGTAACAACTAGATCCAAACTTAAAAACTTTTGTGCTTTCTCTGCTTATTTATCTCTTATAGAACCGGAGAACCATGAAGTGGCTCTCTCCGACACTGACTGGGTGTAACACCCCCAAATTTCCCACCCAAAAATACATTTAGATAATGGTTGGTTCGAAAACATCAGAGTCTTGCAGCGGAAAATTCAAAGGGAAACAGGGGCGTTACCGCCACACTCGGTTCTCACATAACCGAGTGCACAGGCTATCCACCACCACAATTAAAAATTCTCGTAATTAATTGTTCAACTACAATTCTTTAAAATTAAGACTAAAATAAACTACTCAATCACTTTAGTCTATGTGTTCTAGCGGAAGCTCTCGAAATCAACTTCAATATGATCCTCAATTCCTGCACAAATAAAGTACAGAAAGAAAAACACAAAGAAACAAAAATTAGCTGGAAATGCTAAGTAAGGCCCACCCAACCCTGTAAAATAATCATGTTTGATACATATATATCATTTTGTGAAAACATTTGGGAGGAAACCTTTTGAAACACTTTATACAAACTTCTCATCACAAAATCACATGTAAAATAATAATATTCCAAATATAGGTACAAATTTCCAAATCATAATAATTCTAAAATGTCAATACTCAATATACATAAACCACCAAAATTCTCGTAAATATTCCCAAAAAATAAATTATATGTAAATCTTTAAATATATCCATCTCAAAATACTTCCAAATACTCATAATCAATATTTAACATAATCATATCAAATCAAATCCAAAAGTATTACTTTGGAAATCTACAAATAATTTAATAATCTGAACCACCTCAAATTCAATCCAATCCAAATAATCCAAATCACCTCAAGTCCAATGAAATTCATCTCAAAGCCTCAAAACCAATTCACCTCAATGGAATACAAGTCCAATTAAATCCAACTATAATCCAATCACTCAAACTCTATCAAAACCACTGGAATCCGAACTCCTACCTTAAGTGTGCACACCCCCTGAAAGAGATTCCAAGCTCTCCGGGTAGTAAAAAGTCCGAGTAGTCGGGATTTTTCTACCGACTACTACAATTAAGCTGGGATGCTCCACTTTTGGGAGATCCCTGGTGGAATTAGACTTATAGCCATTACCACTCACCAAATCCACATTTCTCCAAGTGCTCACAAAATCATAATCCAATCTCAAGTTCAAGTATCATAACCCCAATCAAAATGGATATGAAATCCAGATCCCACCAAATTATTCATAATGAAATTATTAACTCCAACTCATCATACTCAAATATACCATAAATAGTCAAAATATAGGATACTTCATAAATAGCTCAAATCTCAAATCTCAATCCAATAACAATTCATATGTAAATTCAAATGCTCAAAATATCACCCAATATAAAATACTCAAATTTCAAATACATATAATTCATAATCACAATTGATACGTAAGATCTCATTAACTATCATATACTCAAATGATCTCAAATAACTAGTCACAAATAAATTTATATGGGAAAAGCATGAAATTTGGTTGACATAGTACTTACCTCGGTTTGTGAAAATTCCTAACCAAAGCTTTAACCCCGATCTTCTCCAAATTCACCTTCTAGAATATTACATTCTAGAATTAGCACGTAATCTTATTCTTATACTCTAATCAATTTCAACCAATCAATACTGAGATTAGTTGGTTATAACTCGATTATCACCGATTAGTAATTTAGTCCATTTTCTTGTTAAGGTAACCCTTATTGATTTTATATTTAGAACAACTCCGTAATGCCGGTGGTCCACTTTAACATAACTAGTCCGTTTACTTCATGGAATAAACTTATATGGAGCATAATTATTTAGAGTGCTAAATATAAAGGATAATTACTAATCATATTGGTTATATATAAATTTGTAGACCAGTGGAGTGACTTGGCCAATTCCACTCAATCTTAAGCAATCTAATCAACCAAGCCAGTTTATTACGAAGTATTGTTATTTTCATATTAATTTCAGCCAGAATTTATTTATCATTAAAATGACAACTCATTCGGCCAATCCAAACTTAGCTCTAAAGTCTGCCAATTACTATTATGAATTACTAGTATATTAATAAACATTCAGCCCATCTATCTTAAGGGAGTTAACGCAGCGACAAAGGAAGAAGAAGAGAAGAAGTATTGTACGTCGTTCGATCAGTGCCGGCGAGCAGGGGGAGAACTCCGGCATCTAGAGCGGCAGTAGTCTGGATGCTTCCACCGGGGGTCCTCGTTTCCCGACGTCAACAGCAGCAGTCAAGTCCGGTGATAGAAATTCCGGCTTCTCTTCTTCCTCCGGTATTTGCTTCCGTTTCTCCGGCGGACTCCTCCCTAGCTTCTCAAGCGTTGATCCTCTTACTGTTACTCTCCCTTACTCACAACACATACATCAGGTCGCAGAGAAAAGTGCGGGTGTGTGAAGTTAGTTCTCCGGTTATGATTTCGCAGAGGTAGCATGTACACATATAAATACTACGTATGTATTTGTGTATACTTGGTATATTAATTCGCAGGTATAGCTGGTTTCCTCTTGGTGCAGAAAGATACACGTACGTAGCTCATTCCCTTGGCTGGCCTCATCAGGATAAGCATGTGGGTTGGTCGTTCATTTTGGATCGCATTCATGTATATGGCCAGCAGATGCATTATTGTTATGTATTATATGTATGATACGGAGTAATTGATAAGGTTATCAGTAGATACATAGCATATATTGATATGTACATACAGAGATATAGTTATTGGGTATGGCTGATATGTATGTGTGCATTAAATTTGGAAAGTACAACTCTTTTATTATTGCATCGAATTATTTTAGAGTATTTGTGTACACATATTATTATCTGATACACCTTTGAATTAAGATTGTCAAAATGTCACTTTTATTATTTATGTCATATATATAACTATCACTTGTTACAAAGTTCCAAATTTTTTTATTTAAGTCAAGTCTCTATCTGGTCAACATAAATATTATGAAAATGTCACTTTTATTATTGAAACGTTTTTTTTTTTCCTGATTAAATGTAACTGATGTTAAAATCTCATTTGATTCACTTAATTATTAAAATGTCACTTTCATGGCGTTTTATCTGACTAAACATTTGTTTATTTTATTTCACTTTTTCGGAGTGTCACAATCTACCCTCCTTAAAAGATGCTTCGTCCCGAAGCATAAGCTAAGGAATTCTCCACAGTACAATTAGCAGGTGTCACATGTTAGTTAACTTCTTTTTATTAAATTTAGGAGTGTCACATTCTACCCTCCTTAAATAGATGCTTCGTCCCCGAAGCATTTAACATATTCAAGAATAATTTATTCATCAAAGATCAAACGATACATAAGTCTTCAAACATACTTACTAATTTTAAAAATAAGAAATTTTATATGATTTTGCTTACTATTTTCATATTCTTCTGTTGCGTTTTGCATTATTTTCATGACGATTGATTCCACGAGTCGGAGGGATTCCCTTCTTCCTTGAATGACACTCAAACACCCTATGCCCTAGCTTGTCACAATGAAAACATCGTACAAGCGTTCCATCACAGTATTTCCCGGGGTGATCCTTTCTACACTTCGAGCAGTAGAAGTGCATCTCTTCAGTTGAGTTCTTCTTCTTACGCTTCTGGTCTTGGCCTTGGTTGTTGATCTTCTTCCCGTTCCGAGTGTGCCCTAGCTGATTTAGCTTGCATTGTTTGCCTCCTGTTTTGCTTTCTCCTTCAGTCACTTTCCTCGCTCTCTTGAGTGTTTTCTTCTGGAGTTGTTGCACTCGATAGTGCTTGCCAGCTTTGTTGTAGGCATCGTTCAACGTTTGGCATTCTGAAACGCAAAGAGCTTTTTGTGTCTCGAAGTTCAGGCCGCGTATAAACTTATTTGTTTTCTCGATTTCATCAGGAACTAGCGTGGGAGCAAATCGTGCGAGATTCAAGAATTTAGCGTGATACTCTTGGACAGTCATGCCTACTTGCTTCAGGTGTAAGAATTCTTCATACTTCTCAGCTCTCACGTGCTCTGGGTAGAATCTCTTTCGCATTTCCTCCTTGAACGTCTCCCAAGAAAAGTCGGGTTGTTGACGCAACGTTAGGGCAGTCGTGGCCCACCAATTGTCTGCTTCTTGACGTAGATAGTACGCAGCCGTATTAATTCGTTGATCTGTAGGGCAGTTTATAGCATCGAAGAGTTTGTCGAAAGTGCGAATCCAATCCTCAAGGATGAGAGGATCTTCTTGGCCTAAATAACACGGTGGATTGCGCTTCGCTACAAGTTTCGCTACATCATTGCGGTTTTTGAGACGTTGTTGGTGTTGGTTCTGAATTAACACACTCCCGATAGTCTGGATGAGTTGAACCACATTTTGAGCCAACTCCGCATTCGTCGGTGCGGCGATATTGTCTTCTATTTTGGTTCTCGTTGACTTCATTGTCTACTTGAAAGAATAATGTTTAGGACACGAAGTATATCAATGACATTCACAATTATACTACCTTCACTATTAATTCATTACTCACATAATTTGGTAAGTTCCTCTAAAAGTCCAAACTCATTCTCAACTGAGTCAATAGTGATATATCTCATATAAGTATAACTCAAACAATTCAAAGAATCACAAACTCCATCAAAATAGATTTCAAAATCTCACATCTCACCCGTATCCTAGGTTTTTTTTTCCTTGACTTGTTCTTTTTTTTTTTTTTTAATAAGACTTATTATTCCTAAATTTCTTTTTCTTTTTGTATAAGAGCATTAAAAGATCGATATAAATTTTTTTTCAAAGAAGAAAAAAAAACGTTTCTGGAAACTTTTTGAAAAATTTCAATCGATTTTAAAAGAAAGTCTTTTTGAAGATCGTAGTCACATAAGGAAAGTTTTATTTGAAAATTCCCAATTTAAAAATCAAAGGCTTTGATACCAACTTGTTGATATCTCTTTTTAGAAAATCTCAAAAATATTTGAAACCCCGTTTTTATAAAAGAAGAGGCTCTGATACCAACTTGTTGATCTCACTTAAGAAAATTTAAGAAACATTAGAAATCTTTTGAAATAATTTTTTTTTTAGAAAACTTTTTGGAAAAACACTTTGAAAAAGATTCCCCAGAAAAACATTGCTCTGATACCAACTTGTAACACCCCCAAATTTCCCACCCAAAAATACATTTAGATAATGGTTGGTTCGAAAACATCAGAGTCTTGCAGCGGAAAATTCAAAGGGAAACAGGGGCGTTACCGCCACACTCGGTTCTCACATAACCGAGTGCACAGGCTATCCACCACCACAATTAAAAATTCTCGTAATTAATTGTTCAACTACAATTCTTTAAAATTAAGACTAAAATAAACTACTCAATCACTTTAGTCTATGTGTTCTAGCGGAAGCTCTCGAAATCAACTTCAATATGATCCTCAATTCCTGCACAAATAAAGTACAGAAAGAAAAACACAAAGAAACAAAAATTAGCTGGAAATGCTAAGTAAGGCCCACCCAACCCTGTAAAATAATCATGTTTGATACATATATATCATTTTGTGAAAACATTTGGGAGGAAACCTTTTGAAACACTTTATACAAACTTCTCATCACAAAATCACATGTAAAATAATAATATTCCAAATATAGGTACAAATTTCCAAATCATAATAATTCTAAAATGTCAATACTCAATATACATAAACCACCAAAATTCTCGTAAATATTCCCAAAAAATAAATTATATGTAAATCTTTAAATATATCCATCTCAAAATACTTCCAAATACTCATAATCAATATTTAACATAATCATATCAAATCAAATCCAAAAGTATTACTTTGGAAATCTACAAATAATTTAATAATCTGAACCACCTCAAATTCAATCCAATCCAAATAATCCAAATCACCTCAAGTCCAATGAAATTCATCTCAAAGCCTCAAAACCAATTCACCTCAATGGAATACAAGTCCAATTAAATCCAACTATAATCCAATCACTCAAACTCTATCAAAACCACTGGAATCCGAACTCCTACCTTAAGTGTGCACACCCCCTGAAAGAGATTCCAAGCTCTCCGGGTAGTAAAAAGTCCGAGTAGTCGGGATTTTTCTACCGACTACTACAATTAAGCTGGGATGCTCCACTTTTGGGAGATCCCTGGTGGAATTAGACTTATAGCCATTACCACTCACCAAATCCACATTTCTCCAAGTGCTCACAAAATCATAATCCAATCTCAAGTTCAAGTATCATAACCCCAATCAAAATGGATATGAAATCCAGATCCCACCAAATTATTCATAATGAAATTATTAACTCCAACTCATCATACTCAAATATACCATAAATAGTCAAAATATAGGATACTTCATAAATAGCTCAAATCTCAAATCTCAATCCAATAACAATTCATATGTAAATTCAAATGCTCAAAATATCACCCAATATAAAATACTCAAATTTCAAATACATATAATTCATAATCACAATTGATACGTAAGATCTCATTAACTATCATATACTCAAATGATCTCAAATAACTAGTCACAAATAAATTTATATGGGAAAAGCATGAAATTTGGTTGACATAGTACTTACCTCGGTTTGTGAAAATTCCTAACCAAAGCTTTAACCCCGATCTTCTCCAAATTCACCTTCTAGAATATTACATTCTAGAATTAGCACGTAATCTTATTCTTATACTCTAATCAATTTCAACCAATCAATACTGAGATTAGTTGGTTATAACTCGATTATCACCGATTAGTAATTTAGTCCATTTTCTTGTTAAGGTAACCCTTATTGATTTTATATTTAGAACAACTCCGTAATGCCGGTGGTCCACTTTAACATAACTAGTCCGTTTACTTCATGGAATAAACTTATATGGAGCATAATTATTTAGAGTGCTAAATATAAAGGATAATTACTAATCATATTGGTTATATATAAATTTGTAGACCAGTGGAGTGACTTGGCCAATTCCACTCAATCTTAAGCAATCTAATCAACCAAGCCAGTTTATTACGAAGTATTGTTATTTTCATATTAATTTCAGCCAGAATTTATTTATCATTAAAATGACAACTCATTCGGCCAATCCAAACTTAGCTCTAAAGTCTGCCAATTACTATTATGAATTACTAGTATATTAATAAACATTCAGCCCATCTATCTTAAGGGAGTTAACGCAGCGACAAAGGAAGAAGAAGAGAAGAAGTATTGTACGTCGTTCGATCAGTGCCGGCGAGCAGGGGGAGAACTCCGGCATCTAGAGCGGCAGTAGTCTGGATGCTTCCACCGGGGGTCCTCGTTTCCCGACGTCAACAGCAGCAGTCAAGTCCGGTGATAGAAATTCCGGCTTCTCTTCTTCCTCCGGTATTTGCTTCCGTTTCTCCGGCGGACTCCTCCCTAGCTTCTCAAGCGTTGATCCTCTTACTGTTACTCTCCCTTACTCACAACACATACATCAGGTCGCAGAGAAAAGTGCGGGTGTGTGAAGTTAGTTCTCCGGTTATGATTTCGCAGAGGTAGCATGTACACATATAAATACTACGTATGTATTTGTGTATACTTGGTATATTAATTCGCAGGTATAGCTGGTTTCCTCTTGGTGCAGAAAGATACACGTACGTAGCTCATTCCCTTGGCTGGCCTCATCAGGATAAGCATGTGGGTTGGTCGTTCATTTTGGATCGCATTCATGTATATGGCCAGCAGATGCATTATTGTTATGTATTATATGTATGATACGGAGTAATTGATAAGGTTATCAGTAGATACATAGCATATATTGATATGTACATACAGAGATATAGTTATTGGGTATGGCTGATATGTATGTGTGCATTAAATTTGGAAAGTACAACTCTTTTATTATTGCATCGAATTATTTTAGAGTATTTGTGTACACATATTATTATCTGATACACCTTTGAATTAAGATTCTCAAAATGTCACTTTTATTATTTATGTCATATATATAACTATCACTTGTTACAAAGTTCCAAATTTTTTTATTTAAGTCAAGTCTCTATCTGGTCAACATAAATATTATGAAAATGTCACTTTTATTATTGAAACGTTTTTTTTTTCCTGATTAAATGTAACTGATGTTAAAATCTCATTTGATTCACTTAATTATTAAAATGTCACTTTCATGGCGTTTTATCTGACTAAACATTTGTTTATTTTATTTCACTTTTTCGGAGTGTCACAATCTACCCTCCTTAAAAGATGCTTCGTCCCGAAGCATAAGCTAAGGAATTCTCCACAGTACAATTAGCAGGTGTCACATGTTAGTTAACTTCTTTTTATTAAATTTAGGAGTGTCACATTGGGTTCTAGCCATGCAGGAAGAACTAAATCAGTTTGAAAGAAATAAGGTGTGGCATCTAGAACCGAGACCCAAGAACAAGACTGTGATAGGTCTCAAATGGGTATTCAAGAACAAGCTCGATGAACATGGTCAAATCACAAGGAACAAAGCTAGGCTTGTTGTCAAAGGTTATAACCAACAAGAAGGAATAGACTTCAACGAAACATTTGCACCGGTGGCTAGACTAGAAGCAATCCGAATGCTCATAGCATTTGCGGCTCATATGGGTTTCACCCTCCACCAAATGGATGTCAAGACGGCCTTCTTGAATGGATATCTAAAGGAAGAGGTATATGTAGAACAACCACCGGGCTTTGAAAATCAAGATTTTCCTAATCATGTTTTCAAATTAGATAAAGCACTTTATGGCCTCAAACAAGCACCTCGTGCTTGGTATGAACGCCTATCTAAATTTCTTTTGGAAAATGGTTTTGAAAGAGGAAAAATAGATAAAACTCTTTTTCTAAAAATAAAAGATCAAGCACTATTGGTTGTTCAAGTTTATGTTGATGATATTATTTTTGGTGCTACTAACGATTCTCTTTGTGATGAATTCTCTAATCTTATGAGTTCCGAATTTGAGATGAGTATGATGGGGGAACTTAATTTCTTCCTTGGCCTACAAATCAAGCAATCAAGCAAAGGAACTCAAATATCTCAACAAAAATACCTCAAGGAACTCTTAAAGAAGTATGGGATGAGTGAAGGAAAAACTATGACTACACCCATGGGGACAAATGATAGGCTGGACGCGGATGAACAAGGAAAAAGCATAGATCAAAAGATGTATCGAGGAATGATCGGGTCCCTACTGTACCTCACTGCCAGTAGACCTGACATTGTTTTCAGCGTAGGTCTATGTGCACGGTTCCAGGCTAATCCCAAAGAATCTCACCTCAAGGCTGTGAAAAGGATCCTCAAGTATCTCAAAGGAACGGCTGATTTATGCCTGTGGTATCCACGTAATGAGAATTTTGAACTAATTGCATATTCAGATTCTGATTTTGCAGGTGATTTATTACATAGGAAAAGCACGTCTGGAACTGCTCACTTCCTGGGTCCTTGTCTAGTTTCTTGGAGTTCTAAGAAACAAAATTCAATAGCACTCTCAACAGCGGAGGCTGAATACGTAGCTGCTGCATCATGCTGCTCTCAATCACTGTGGATCATGCAACAGTTAAGCGACTACGGAGTTGATATAAAATGCACACCAATTATGTGTGATAATACAAGTGCTATTAGCATCTCAAAGGATCCGGTCATGCATTCTCGGACAAAACATATTCATATACGTCATCACTTTTTGAGAGATTGCGTAGAAAAGGGGCTAGTCAAGCTTGACTATTGCAACACTGATAAGCAGATAGCCGACATCTTTACAAAACCCCTGGGAAGAGAAAGGTTTGAGATCATCAGACTTGAACTTGGATTAATTAATGCTTAACATTCTACTCTGTTTAAATTCTGTTCGTCTTCCACGATTATGTAGATTAGCTTAGTTTGGTAAGAAGTTTCTTTTCCCGGTACATCCCCTGATTGCTTAAAACTACGTGCTATATGTGTCTGATTTTTTTTGGAAAAGGTTCTAAACTGATCATTATCTCTTAAATAATGGTATCAGCCGATCCACTTTCCTAAAGTATTTCTCTCTTAAATAAATCCTCTCT